TTGACGCTTCTAGCCCGACCGCCCCTTCTTCAGCTTGGGAGGCTCTGCCCTGACCCGGGTCCTCCCTTCGTCTTGATTGTGACGAGGGTTCCGTTGTCTGAGGGCTTCTTACTTCCTGACGACTTGTGCCCCTTTCGCCTACCCTTCTTGAAGCTCCGCCCTCCTAGTTTGCTCCTGGAATGCTACCTCTCGGGTGGTAACTCTGGAATGCCGAAGGCATACCTAGTGGTTGATGTCCGACGGTTTGATACCCTCCGTCGCCAAGTGAACAGGAACTCGGTTGGTACAAGTTCGGATGCAACACCCGCTGAAACCAGTTGTACCCCTGCATAGGGTCTCTTGCTTGCATAGATGCTCCTTGAAGGGCTGCCATCACCTGAGACCAGTCTTGCATCGACGGACTCTCATGAATCTGCCCTCCTGGCGAGAAAACTGGGTTTACGACCACACTCGCAAATCCTGTTGGGGTTGAGCTTTCTCTTGACACTTGCCGAGATGGTTGCGGTCCCAACGTACCCTGATACCGAGATCTCCTGCTCTCCTGTTGTCCTGTGCTGGACTGCGCGTGTGATGACTGTTGGTTGGCCGCGTTCGCTTCCCCCATCACTCCTCACACGGCTCTCCAACTCAAGTTGCTTTATTATTATATAAATAAAATAAATAAATAAGCCAGAGTGGCCTTCGCGCCCTTATTTGACTCATTTTGACCCGCGCGCGTTATTTCTTATTTATAAGTTCACCGAGAATGAGTTGAGTCAATTCTCATATATGAATCATCCTTCGGCCTGAAATGTCAAATAAGAGAGGCCTCTGCTTCCCGTTGCGCCTTTGGCTGTTTTGCGTTCCGCCATTCCTCCTGCACTCCGCTTCCGTGTGGAAAAATTGTCTGCAGAGACGACACCGCATCATAGTAGACTCGGAGCATGCCAATAGATGCTCCTTGAAAGGCTGCTATCAATCTGAGTGGCGTATGAGTAGAAGGATTGGGTATCTTTGACGTGTGTGTTCAGAGGTGATGAAGGGGAGGAGGTGATGGCGCCATTTCCCCCGGATCCAAGTCCGTGGGGTATACTCCATCATCAAAGCACAGCGTCAACAACGATCTAATGTGCTCTTCATCCTCCCAGTAGTTCATTGGCTCTGAAGGTCCTGGTGGAGGTGATCTTGTGTTCATCCTGTCACCGCCCGGTTCTTCCTCCATTTTCAAGTCTCCTTAATGCTGGTTACCTCTATTGACCTTGGTCTTAATTCAACCGTAATATTCTCCTTCCCTTGCTGTTCTTACTTCCTCTCCCACGAGTCTATTACTACGCCTCTGTTAATTGGTGCCGGAGCAGCAGTCGTCCGAGCTCGGCTGTAAGGCTGCAGCGCTAACCTTCCATAGCCGCTTATCCCCCGCCGGGGAAAGAGTCGGTATTCCCGAAGCGCTATCTCGACAGTAGCGCCTCGATCGACCGTAGGTCGAAAACTCGCACTACGAATTCGCAACCGGTACCGCTGGGCAGAGCGCTTAGTGCCGACCGCAGCGTTCCGCTGAGCGCCACTCCTGTATGCATCATTGGGCCGGAATCTATCCCAAAAATCAAGTAATAAAACTTAGTTTAGCTGGAGTGGACTCATTCATATTGTAGATATATTTACCAGGGTTTAGGAAGTTTTGAATTTGTTGGTTTTCTAATGGTTTTAATTTTCCTGATTTTGGCTTGTCACTCTTTTCTTGCATAAGTACTGAACGTAGAAGGCAATACCAGGACCATCGGTTATTTAGAAAAGCCACAGGAGGCTGGCAGAATTTTCTGGTTGGGCGTAGGGCTTTTTTGGGAAAGTGGTAGGAGTGTCAGAGGGGGCGGTTGCCCAGCAGGTCGGTGATTAGGCCTGCACCTAACAGATAGTTCAGTATAGTTAGCTGGATATGTTAGAATGAGAAGTGCAGAGGGCTCGAGATAAGCTTGGTTTACAGCAACTGTCGCCATAACAGCAAACAGTTAGCAGTGACCCAGATTTTACAAACTGAAGCTGGAACAGGTCCGGTGCCATGGTTACCCTCCGGGTTGTTTGTTGAGGACTCCCGGCCTCAGAGTTACTGTTGCTTTGAATAAAGGATCCTCTGCTTTTTCCCGAAAAAATAAATAAATAAATTGCATTCTTCTTTTCTAACGAATTAAAAAAGGCAGAAATGATGTCACATCATTGAGCTAGGTCAATTCAACGGTGTATGTGGGACTTGGCCCCTGATCCCTTAAAAACAAAAAAAAAGGAGCCTTTTTTGTTCCCTTTTATTCCCTTTATTTGTCCACCACTACCTTTCACAGTGGTGCCCCTTTGGGAAAATAACCAGTACAGCATATCTTGGCAGCTGGGCTCAACAGCGGCCACCGCTGATAAATTCCATCGGCAGCCGCCATTTCGTTTCAGGCTCTGAAATGCTGCAGGACCCTCCCCACGACCGATGTATGTGAAAGGTAGTCGTGATTTAATAAAAAAGCTGAGTTATATTCTTCACTCTCTCACTACTTACCTACCACTACTCCTAAGCCTATACAGGGGATCCCTCCAAGTATAGCTAACCTCTCACAATCAAGGGGATGCATGTTCCCCGCGCTAATGGGTTGTGGTCAGGGGGTAGGGTGGGGCATCTAACTCAAAGACCAAGCATTTTGCCAGTACCTGCTACTCCCATCTACTTGCTCCACCCCCATCCAGTAAGACCATCCAGTAACAGCAGTGTCTATGGCCAGCACTCACACACACACACACACACACACACACACATGATGGCCAAAGACCCTACCATTACGGATTGGGGGGAGCAAGCCAACTATCCATGTTGGCTGGAAGTAGGCGTGCCCAGCCGGGCAGTGGAGATTGAACCCACGACCTCCTGAAGGCCACTTGCGTTCCTAACGAACTGAGATACTACCTAGGCCGCTTGCCTAGTACTATTTTTCTTAGGACGGTTAAGGAGTGTTTAAGGTCAGAATAATTTGTCTCGGATGGCTAAGGAGTGTGTCTAACGAGGCCCTAAGGTCAGAATCGCCATCCTCTCAGATCAGACAGAAGATTGAATTGGGTTATCTCGGGCTGTTTGTTAGCGGATGTCCCGAAGGGCTGATTTTGGTTTTCCCAGAGGATAATCGCGGACTTTTTCGACGGAGTCAGCAAGTCCCGCTCTCCAAGCACCCACCCACACGCCCTCTGCTGGCCCCCTGCTGCCCCCGATCACCCACCCGTCCCCCGTTTCCTTCGCCGCTCGCCCTTCGTTTGCCACTTGCCCGCTACCTAGCCCGCGCCTCTCGTATCGAATATCGAATAGCGTCGGTGGTTTTTCGAGACCCAATCCGATAAGGGGCCTCGCTCCACTACTCTCGCTATGCACAAAAGACAGAAACCATGCCGGTGCATCTTTCCATGTTCTAGCGGAAGATTCACTCTCGTTTTGCACATTTCGAGAGTAGTGGATCGAGGCCCAAGAGCATCGGAATTTCCGATCCGAACCTGTTCGCACCGCTGTGGGCATCGCCACACCACTCTCGAAATGTGCAAAATGAGAATGTGCTTTCCGCTAGAACACGGCCAGATGCACCCGTCACAGTTCTGTCTTTTTCACATTTCGAGAGTGGTGTGGCGAGGCCCTGTGGCGCGGAAGCGTTGCTGCCATAACGAGGCCGCAGTTTCAGACTTCCGCCACACCACGATCGAAATGGGCAAAATGAGAATGCAGTTTCTCCTAGAAGATGGCCAGATGCGCCCGCCACATTTTTGGCTTTTTCACATTTCGAGAGTGGTGTGGCCAGGCCCTCAGACTTCCGCCACAGCGAAGCCACTACAGCGTTCACTCACATTCAGGCCCTACTTGCACTATACTCGCCATCTGCCAAGATTTCGAATGCATCTGGACGAAACCGATGTACGCATGCAATCAATCAAAATGTTGGCGGATGGCGAGGACTGCAACGACGCCCTCAGATGTCATTTCACCGCCGCACATCGCGTGCAGGCAAAGCGGCTGCTGAAGCGATCCGCGACGTAGTGGCGCGTTCCGGTGCGCAGGGGCGCGTTCCGGTGCTCAGGGGCGCAACATGGCTATGAGCGGGGCAATGCACTGCCGCCTTCGGATCGCAGTTGAGAATGGAGAAACGAGGGCGTACGGCATCGTACGGCATCGGTCGACGGCGGCCCGAGATATAGACGAAGAGACGTGGTAGTGTGGAGTACAGTATTATATAGCTATAGCCCGGAGGGGCTGTGGGGGATGGGGCCGAGAGGGGTCCTGGGGCCGTGGGAATGTGGGGGCCGGGGGGGCTGGGCTGTGTGTCTCGAGAGGAGAGTCGGAGGGCAGCTACCCTGGGGGCGGGGAGGGGGGGGGGGGGGGTGTTCTTCCGCCTGTCACCGTCGAGAGGCGAGCGCGACAGAATTGCGGTGGAGGCATGCACAATTCTTAATTCTTATCCTTCCTGAAGACATGACAGCAGAACTGTCAATCTGCACGATATGGATCTTGCGGGTGACCCCTCCTCCTCCTCCTCCTCCTCCTCCTCCTCCTCTCAGCCCTCAGCCTCACTGGCTCCGCCTGGTCTGTAAGTTCTCAGGAGCAGGCGTCCGCCTCCGGTCTCCGGGGCGGTTCTGTTTTCTGTTTGTAACGTTCGGCTTGGCGCAAGCAACCGTGCGACTCCCGCGCTTTTCGCACTGTCTGTTTCGACCTTTTTGGTCACCTCCACTTTTCGATTTGCGCTTTTCTTCTTGTCTGACAGGCGGGATCTGTTGTGTGCCCCAGGCGGGCGGGGCGTTAGGTCACGTAGGATCCTGTTTGTCGATCAAGCACAGGCGGATCAACAGAGGGCGTAAGTAACAATGGATGGGCAAGGCGATGTTGTTGTGCATCTATCGAAGAAGAAGTCCCAATCGCGGCGGCTGTGGAACGGACGGCCTCTGCTTGGTGGCAGAGAATGGTACTAACGAAGGTTTGACTGATGCGTAGCAGAGCGGCGGCGCTGGTAACGGCTCCATCTTGCAGTTGGCCAGAGAGAGCCAGAGAGGTTGGGTGGGGAAGGGTGGAGTGAAAACAGGGAGGGTTATGGCATGGCGTCTGCAATTGCTGTTCGCTCTCTGTGTTCAACGAGATAGCTCTCATCTCATGCATCTTTCTCGTGATTACATGAGCTCGCTGGTGGTCTTTTCACCCGTCATCGCCCCCATTCATCATCTCGGGAGCCCCCCATTCATCATCTCGGCATTCTCCAGGGATACTAATCTCTCCCCCTCCCTCCTCTCGTTCGATCGTTTGCCGCACCTATCTTGTTGTGATCGCTTGATTGATACAACCTTGTTTGACTCGTTCATTTGCATGCACTGAATGTCATTCATGTCGTTTGGTTTGCTGTGTTTTGTCAGTCCGATGCTCTTTCGATACGTTCCGATTTCTGAGCGCTGGAATTCACCAATGCGAAGGGAAGCAGGCGTCAAAGTCTGAAGTCGAAGTCAAGAGACCACTCACTCATAGTAGGTAGCGCCGGGACGAGGTCCTCGACTGCTGCGCGCGTCTGGGCGTGCTTGTGAAGTGCAGATTTCGAGTGTAGCAGGTTCATTGCATTTGCGTGGTGGTGTGTAAGCCATTCATTCAACGCGTGTAGGCCCTTCCTCTGACATGCTGCTGCGCGCAGGACAGCTAGCGAAATGAATCACGGAAAAGGAGGGGAAAAAAAGCCTATGATGACGTTATGATGAGTGGCAGATGGAGCCGCGCGGCGCTAGAGCTTCCGCATTTTATCCCATACACCGACAGGAAGGAGTCGTACTCTTTCTCTTCTGCTTGGCAGTGTGCGAGAAACAGTCCCTCGCATCACGAATCAATCAGTAGGCGGGAGCTGTGTTAAGTTATACAGCAGTAAATTTTGGTTGGGGACGGTGATTTTGCGTGAGTGTAAAATCAGGGAAACGGCATTATCAACCGGAGGGGAGGGATAATGAGCGAGTGGGAGAGAAGTTGGTCACTCGTGTATGCGGAGAGGTGTGCCTTATCGAAGGAGGTAGTAGCTATTACCACCAACGGTGAAGGAGTGTGCTCAGGTATCAAATGAGACGAGAGACGAGACGAGACGAGGCAAGCGCTTCTGAAGGGAGAGGAGGATGGGAGAGGAAGGTGCAATAGTGAGCTGTTGAGCAGTCAAACTTGACAGAATTCCAACTGCTGAGGGAGTTCCTAGCTGGTTATGTACGGATTCGACTTGAGTCGGCAACGGATGGTGAATTGAGGCGGTTGTGAGCTTTTCATCCAGGCCAAGGCGGCACACACATATCCTGCGCGCCCCTCTTTCCCCCCCCCCCCCCTCCCCCCCCCTCTCTCTCTCTCACATGTGCGCGCACAGACAGACAGCAGTCCACCCACGTACACAATGCCATCGGATGTACAAATAGGGGAGGGTGGATGGGAAAGAAAGTATGCGGAGAGGCTAATGTGCCGCTGAAGCGGAACAGCGATTCTGAGTTATTTTGGGCACCGCCGATTTAAGGCTCATGTAGCAGTCTTCCTATCGCCAATCCCATCTAGCTAGACACACACACAGAGCGAGAGCGAGCGAGAGAGAGGGAGCGAGCTTGAGAGAGAGAGAGAGAGAGAGAGAGAGAGAGAGAGAGAGAGAGAGAGAGAGAGAGAGAGAGACGTGGATGCTTGAAATTGGAGGTGCGAGTGAAGTAGAGAGGCTGAGGAAACTTGTAAAGCTCCTCACATGTCTCGAGGTCTAGTGAGCTGGAGCAATACTGCCGCACAAGCTAGCAGCGGGGGAAGCTACATAAGGTATAACTACATAAGCCACTATGGTGCGTATGATGGGAGGCGGGGGAGTGTGCCCCTGCGCTGCGCCATGGGTGCAACGGAGTTGTCCCCTCTCTTCCCCTCTCTTCCCATTTACCGAAGATGGGACATGGAGATCACTAACTGCGAACGAAGTGCGGATGAGGAGGGTAAGGATAGCCACGGCAACAACAGCAATAGCAGCAGAGGCCGTGTTCTCTCCCAGGTGACGGCAGATCCTCCCAACCTTATAAACGATGTGCTCACCGATGATGCTTTGACTGCTGTGCTCCAGTGTCTGAGGGACCCAGCCGACTGGAATTCGTTCAGCTTGGTGTGCAGAAGGTGGTTTAATGTAGAAAGCAACACAAGACAAAAGATTACGATCTTTGCGGTTGAATTCACTGAGCGCTTGCTGTCTCGCTTCCCGAGGTGAGTCGTCATGTCCCTATTTTCTCGTTAGATCATAGCTAGATCTGAACCTCGTTCTGACATCTTGCAAACAGAAAACAATTTCTCTCCGGTTTATCTAAAGGTACTTACTTACGTGTATATGTCTATGTACTTCCATACTGTTCGTATCAACGCTCCTCCGGTGTTTTGACTGTGTTTCATACTCCTCGATTGTGTTTATCCATGTATGGATTCACGTTGATTTCCTTTCCCTGCCTACGTGTCCGTCTGCTCCCTTGGCGGGGCATGCTATTCGAACAATCTTGTATCTACTCTCATAACCTAAAAGCTTATGCGGTTCCATAGGCAAACTAAGTGGTGGAGGTGGGCACAAACACACAGATAGACCCACCC